GGAGGAGGTGGGAGGAGAGATGTGCCTCTGCTCTGGCACTGAGTGTGGCACTGGGGTCCCATCCCCAGCAGGCGAGGGTCTCTCCAGCCCCTTCCTCATGTTCCCAACACAAAACCCCAGCTGAAACCAAAGTGCTGCATCCCGGTGAGGCTGTGCACCCTGGAGCAGGGGTCCTACACCTGCCTGGGCTTTGCCAGAGCCCCTCAACATCCCCCTCCTACTCTAGGCCATGCTGGAGTCCCCCCTTCTCCTCCCAGTGCCCCCCTGGATCCCAATGGGTTTGAGGTCAGGGACAAGATGCCATTTTGTTCCCAGGTCCCAGCCACTGTGCTGGGATGTCCCCACCACAGTGGCAGCCCCAGGGGCTCCTCTGATGCCACTGAACACCACGGTCCCAGGAGGGGGATGTTGTGCCACTGTTCCCCTCATTCACAGCTGTGTGGGCAGCACTGGTTCCCTGATCCCACATGGGGCTGAGCCCTGCCCGTGTCACCCTGCCAGCCCTGGGGACAGGAACACATGGGGGTGCCTGGGGAGGGGGGAGCTGGGTGGGACACAAGAGCCCCCCGCCAGGGCTGGGTGGGGCTGGTGGCAGCCTGCCCTGCCTCCCTGGGGGGAGATGAGGTGGTAGGACTTCCCTTCGGCATGCTGACCCCCCCTCGCTGTTTCCCGCTTTCTCTACGTGTACTGTATGTTTGACCTGTGAAAGATGTAAACTTTATGATTCAGGTTATGTCTGTTCTTAACTCTGTATCTGTGTAATAAAGACAATTTAATATCAACCAGAGGTTCCGTTGGGCTCGTGCTGGGTGCCCTCACCCCCTGCCCCTGGAGCACCCCGCACCCTGTGCCCCCAGCCCTCGGGGGGGTTGTTAGAGCCCTGGGGTCGTTCACTGCCCCATGTCCGGCTCTGAGAAGGGGTGTTTGCATGGAGGGACATTCACGGTTGTCTCCAGGGAACCCAAAGGGATCTCCCCTCCCTGCTGCAGGTCCTGCAGCCTCTTGGGGTGCCCAGCTTCTCCCCTTCTTCTGGAGGCAGCTGCCGGGAGCTGGTTGCGGTCCC